TACCAATGCAAGCTTTGAAGCCTTGTCTGACATTTGTTTTGGTCTTTTCTTTCTTCACTGTCTTTGTAATGACCTTTTGCTTTCTTCATAGATGAACTTTGCCTTGTTTTATGGATGATGACCTTGATGCAATACCACAATTTATCTGGTAGTTATAGATCATCAGTATAACTCTACATTTCCGTATGGGACACTCATTTTAATTTAAAAGATATCACTTCTTCTTTTATCATCTGTATTCATTGTCCGGCTCTCACCATCATATAGTAAGTGATTGAAAAGACCATATGGTTTGAATCAGGCACACCTTAGTCCTCAAACTAACAATATTGCTCCTCAATAATTTAAGGAGGTCCCTGGCTGCAGATTTTCCCAGTGCATTACATCTCCTGATCACCTGTTGGCTGATACTGAGTGTATTGTTACTGTTGTTAGGTGCCATTGAGTCGAGTATGACTCATAGTGACCCTAAGAACAAAAGATCTGAACCTAGTCTTGTCCTGTACCATCCTCACACTTCCTGCCACACAAGAGCCCATTCCAGCAGTAATCTTGTCAATCCATCTGGTTGATTGTCTTCCTCTCCTTCACTGACTCTCCAACCTTCACAACATCATGTCCCTCTCCAAGGAATAGCACCTCCTAGCAACATGTCCAAAGTATGTGAGGTGAAGCTTCATCATTCTTGCCTCCAAAGACCATGGTGGCTGAACCCACTCTAGGACATATTTATTTGTTTCCTTGGCCATCTATGGGATGTTCAGCGCTCTTCTCCATATCACAGCTCAAAGGCATCAATTATTTTTCTGTCATCTTTATTCATTGTCCGGGTCTCAGATGCATGACTAGTAATTGGAAAGATCATGGCCTGAATCAGATGCGCCTTAGTTCTCAAACTGACATCACTACTCCTCAGTAATTTGGAAAGGTCCCTAACTGCAGATTTTCCCATTGCAATACGTTTTCTTATTTCCTGACTGCTCATACCAAGAGTGTTAATTGTGGATCCAAGCAAGATGAAGCTGTTAACAGTTTCAGTCTCCTCTCCATTCATAATGACACAGCTTGTTGGTCCAGTGGTAAGAATCTTTGTTTTCTTGATATTGAGACACAACCCATACTGAAGGCTGTACTGTTTCATCTTCTGTAATAAGTAGTTCAAATCCTCCTCACCTACAGCAAGTAAGGTTGTGTCACCTATGTTTACACAAGTTATTGATGAGTCTCCCTCCAGTCCTGATACCACATTCCTTTTCATAGACTCCAGCTTCTAGAACAACTTCTCAGCATACTAATTGAACTGGTATGGAGCTAGAATACATCCGTGATGTACTCCCCTCCTAATTCCAAACCATACAGTGCTCCCCTGCTCCACTCACAAGACAGCCTCCTGATCCAGGTATAGGTTCCTCATGAGCACAATCAAGTGATCTGGGATTCCCATTCTTCTCAATGTCAGCCACAACTTGTCATGATCCACACAGTCAAATGCTTTTACATAGTCAATAAAGGACAAATAGACATTCTTCTGGTATTCCTTACATTCAGCCAGGATCCATCTGATATCAGCAATGATATTACTGATCCTGTGCAGTTTAAAAATCAGTTGGGCCCTCAGGCCTGCTATCGATTGTGTTAGAAAGAACTTTGTTCTAAGTGGTGCAGCACTTGTCTGTCAGTTTGCTGTACTGAAATTACTTGGGGTTGCTGTGATACTGAAATTTTTGCCACTGATGTGTCAAATTCCAGAAGGGTTTCCCATTGTAAACAGGTTTTGGTGGTGCTCCCTGATTAAGACAGGCTAGTAAGCAGGTGGGCCATCTACTTCCTAAGTAAAAAGCTTTTGAAAAACCTATCAACACTAAAAAATAAAGAGGACAGTTATAGCAGTGTAGTGGCTAGTGGCAGAGTCCAGATTGGAAGTTAGTTGAAATGAGAAAAATCAATAAACATAGTTAAACAATTGGTACACAAGATGCTTATAGCTTGAGTTCTGGAAAACTGGATATTGTGAAAAATGAAATAGAATGCATGTGTATCAACATACTAGGCATTAGTGAGATGTGATGGACCAGCTATGGCCACTTTTAATCAGATAACCATATGATATACTATGCAGAGAATGAAAAACAGAAAAAGAATAATATTCCATTCATGGCCAAAAAGTCAATTTCAAGGTCTGTCCTAGAATACAATGTGGTGAGTGATAAGATAATATGCTTACACATACAAGAAAGAACCCTTAGCATGACTATTATCCAAGAATATGCTCCTACACTGAGAACCAAAGTGGGAAAAAATTAGAATTTTTATAAAATTTTGTAGTCTGAGATTGACCAAACATGCAATCAGGATGCATTAATAATAACTGATGACCAAGTCTATACTGTTGTTGTTGTTATATGCTGTGGAATCACTTGCGACTCATAGCGACCCTATGTACAACAGCCCTAAACTCTGTCCTGTCCTGTGCCAATCGCACTGTCTCTGACACATTTATCCCGATTACCCCAGTCACCAAATCATTCTATCTGCTAGAGGGCCTTCCCCTCCTGCACCTGCCCTCCACCCTCCCAAGCATGATGTCCTTCTCCAAGGACTGGTCTCTCCTTACATGACCAAAGTATGTCAGACGAAGCCTCAGAATCCTTGCCTCCAAGGAGCATCCCGGTTTAACCCACTCCAGGATGAATGTGTTTGTTTTCTTAGCAGTCTATGGCACCCTCAGTACTCTTCTCCAACACCAAAGCTCAAAGGCATCAATTCTCCTTCTATCCTCTTTAGTCATTGTCCAACCGTCTGATGCATAACAAGTGATTGCAAAGACCATGGCCTGTATCAGACGCACACAATTTTTTTTCTTCTCATCACTTCTGACATACTCAAGCCCATTATTGCAGATATTAGGTCAAACTATCTCGTTGAGGGTCTTTCTGCCTTTTATACCCAATCTAAGCCAGGATATTTAAGTTGCTTCTTATGCATCTGAAAGTTGAGCAATGAATGAAAACCAAAGAAGAATGAATGTCTTTGAATTATGATCTTGGCAAAGAAATTTGTATTTTGCATGGACTGGTTGAAGAATGATCAAATAGGTGTTGAAAGAAGTATAACACAGGTGCTTCTCAGAGGCAAGGATAGTGAAACTCCTCTTCACATACTTTAAGCATGTTGTTTGGGACCAGTCTTTGGAAGAAGACATCTTGTTGGTAAAGATAAAGGGTAAGCCACGAAAGGACAACTCTCAGAGAGATGTATTGACACAATGACTTCAACAATGGGCTTAAAGCATAATGGAAATCATGAATGTAATGCAGGATAAGACCAGGTTCAGGTGTGTTGTTCATAAAGTCATTATCCTCCTGGTAGACTTGATTTACCTAACAACAAAAGAAGAGGTTTGGACTAAGACATCAATGTTTTAAACTTCTCAATATGAAGTTAAGTTTCAGGGCCAGTGATACTCATTCTCAAGTATAATCTGCATATACAATTCAACTTTATTAGATGCAAAAGAAGTTTGTGTAATATATAGGACTTATGTTGCTGTTGTTGTTATGAGCTGTTGAGTTGTAGATGACTCACAGTGACCCTATGAATGAAAGACCTGAACACCTGTGCAGCTGTAGCTTGTGTTCATGGGGAAACTCTACCAAACACTATATACAGTGGGTAATCATTACCATATTTGACACATCAGTGTCACCGTGTTTAGCATCACAGCAACCAAGAAGATTTTTTCTTATGTTGAGTAAGCTAGTGAGTTTGAATTGACAACTTTTAAGTTAATGGGCAAATGATTAGCAGTTGTACAAAGAAGTTTCTTAGCCTAGTCGTGAGGAATTGTGCTACCAATACCAAGGCACGTGGTTTGAATTTAACAAACTGCTTAGCAAGGGAAAGATTTGTTGTTGTTGTTATGTGCCATCGAGTCACTTGCAACTCATAGCAACCCTATGTACTAGAGCCCTATATGCTGTTCTATACTGTGCCAACCTCACTGTCTCAAACACACTAATTCCCTCCACTCCAATCACAGACTGGATACATCTCTTCGAGGGTCTTCCTCTTCTGTGCCATCCCTCCACTCTCCCAAACATGATGTCCCTCTCCAAAGACCAGTCCCTCCTTGCAACATACCCAAAGTATGTCAGATGAAGCTTCAGAATCCTTGACTCCAAGGAGCATTCTGGCTTCACGTTCTCCAGGACACACCTGTTCGTTCTCCTAGCCGTCCATGGTATATTCAACACTCTTCTCCAGCACAACAGCTCAAAGGCATCAAGTTTCTTTCTATCATCCCTAGTCACTGTCCAACTCTCCGATGCATAACATGTAATCACGAAGACCATAACCTGGATCAGGCACACCTTAGACTCCAGCCTGATGTTGTTGCTCTTCAGTACTCTTGAGAGGTCCCTCACAGCTGACGTTCCCAATGCAATTTGTCTCTTGATTTCCTGGCTGTGTTACCAAGAGTGTTGACTGTGGAGCCAAGTAGACGAAAACTGTTAACTATCTCAATCTCTTCACCATTCATATTGATGCTGCCAATTGGCCCAGTGGCCAACCTTATTTTGTGAAGTATGTAGCCTCTGAAATTCCACTCACGGGTCTGCTATGCGTCAGTTCTGCCTCTATGGCACAAAGTTTGAAGCTTATAAGCTTGTAAGCACATCAGTATAGAACTGGATATTTTACCAGGGTGCCTGGGTCTACATGAGGGGAAAACAACAGGAGACGCCATATTTATACTGAAAGTGACCGTGATGATCAGTATACCACAGAATATCTCCACTTTCTCATTAAACTTGTGGGAAAGAACACAATCTTCAAAAAAGAATCCTTGACATTGGAATCTCTAAGAATTAGAAAGAATATGTAGCATATAAAAGGTAAATAACAGGCAAGATTTCTGGTTTCAGATATTACATTTTCCCAATCTTCCTACCCACACATCAAAAATGATGGCACTAAAAAAAAAAATAATGGCACATGTGTTAAGATTTGGCTGCTCTGCTGAACAGAATTCCCAAAGCCCTCTTCATGTCTCTGTTCCTCAGGCTGTAGATGAAAGGGTTCAGCAAGGGAGTGACCATGGTGTACATCACTGAGGCCATCACATCCTTCCTGGCAGAAGATGAGACATTTGAGCCGAAGTATTCTCCAAGGCCTGTTCCATAAAATAAACAAACTATTGACAGGTGAGAGCCACATGTGGAAAAGGCTTTGCATTTCCCACTGGAAGAGGAGACTTTCAAAATGGAGGAGACAATTCGAGCATAAGATAAAAGGATGCCTGAGACCGGAACACCACCAAAGAGAGCACCACTACTATATACGAGTATGGCATTGATGGAGGTATCAGAACAGGCGAGGTTAATAAGTTGAGGAGGATCACAGAAGAAACGAAGTATCTTCACATCTCTGCAGAAGCTAAGTTGTGAAAACATTGAAAAGTTCAGCAGGGAGTTCAGAAGGCTCATGACAAAAGTTACCAACACTAGCAAACCACAGCGGTGGGGGTTCATGATTACCGTATAGTGGAGAGGATAACAGATGGCCACAAACCTGTCATATGCCATCACAGCGAGGAACATACTATCCAGGCATCCAAAGAAATAGATAGAGGACACTTGTACCAGGCAGCCCACATAGGTGATGGAGTTGCTCTGTGTCTGAATGTTCACCAATATCTTTGGGACCGTGATGGAGATGAAACCAATGTCAGTCACAGACAGACTGGAGAGGAAAAAGTACATGGGAGTGTGGAGGGCGGAGTGAGAGGTGACAGCCAGGATGATGAGCAGGTTGCCAGCCACAGTGATCAGGTACATGGACAGGAAGAGCCCAAAAAGCACTGGTTGCAGTTTTGGATCCTCAGAGAAGCCCAGAAGTAGGAATTTGGAGATGTCTGTTTGGTTCTGTGGCATCATGCACCTGAGAGAGTTTTCAAAATAAGGAAAAAGAGTTTGTTAAACAAGTGAACAGGCATCCAATACAGAGTCTGTATTAGGAATTTAAGAAATTCAGAATAATGAAAATCCCAAGTGTTCCCACTTGAACCCCTACAATTGAATTCTAGTGCCATCTGCAATTCTACTCAGTTGTAGCCAAATCAATGTGGCTCTCTTTCCTCATAGTCATTCTCCTGTGTCATTCTCCTGTTTTCTGCACCTCCCCTTTCAAGACACTGCCAGTGTAAGAATAACAAGAAATTTTTAAGGTAACTTATTCCTAGAAATAGAAGAACATTAACTCCTTCTGTGAGGGAAACATAAGCAATGACAAATATCCTTTCAAGGGAAAAAAAATTGCTTCAATGATACTAAGGAACACTTGTGATTTGGAAGAGGACACTGTTTAACAGACTTGAATGCCGAGAAAAAGTCAATGGGCACTCAGACTTCGTGGAATAAACTTACCTTGGTCTACTTCTGAAGGATCAGGCATTGAAAACACAGAACACAGTTCTACTGTCACACACAGGCGTAGATAAAAATCAAACTCCACTCGACAGCCCCTTCCAGTTCTTTTTGTGAAGCTGTTAAATCCACTTTGTTTTTAAACTTTGTTGATGTAGACTAACCAGAAGACAACTTATAAAAAAGAAAACAAAAAACCAACAACTTCCAAGAGATAGAATGCCCTTACAGAAAAAGAAAATGCCATCTAATTGATTCCATTATATGACAGTCCTAAGTAGCGTAGAATCTAAATGCCTGACAAGCCTTTTCTGTCCTTTTGAAGCACTGAAATATGAGTTTGAACTACTAACCTTTCAGTCAGAATTCTAGCTCAAATGGTTTGCATCACAAAGGGACAAACTTACCTGAATTTTATATTAAAATGTCCACAAGCAGCAAATTTCCATGTCACTTAACTTTCACAGATTAGTATCCTTTTTCTTTTTTATTATTAAATTTTATTGGTTTTAATGAACATTTACAGAGATTTTAGGTTTTCATTCATTCATTGTTGCACTGTTTTCTCCACCCTCCTCCCCAGTTCGTTCTTCTTCCCCCCCCCAATGTCTGTTTTAATTGTCCAATTGCCACAGTGCTTGTCAAAGCCAGTTCTGATTAATCTCCTTTGTCAGTGTGTCCCTTGCCATTCCCTATCACTCCTCCCTGAGAGAGACTTCACCCTGATTCATAAGGAAAAGGGGATGGCGTATTCTCTTAGCTACTTCCTGCTGAAAAGGGACGCTGTGGGTTTCTGGGTGAAGGTCTTCTCTCACTACTTTAAAGGGCCCCTTTGGCAGTAGGAAACACATAGACTATTATGGAGATTGATTTTATCAATCTCCATAATAGTATCATTTTTCTTAATCTCCTGCCCAAGACCTCTTAAAAGTATAAAAAATAAAGATAACAGTTTAACAACTTTGGTGTCCTTGACCAAAACCAGATTTTCAGTTGCTTCATACAGTGAATAAGGAAGACCTAAGAAGAATTCATGCCTGTGAACTGTGGTGTTGGCAAAGAACATTGAATATATCATAGTTGCAAAAAATAATAATAAAAAGTACAGACTAAATGGTCTTTCGAGGCAAGGAGAGCAAGATACCATCTTAACATATTTTGGGCATGTTGTTAGAAGATCACAGTCCATTATGCCTGGGGGGAAATGGAGCATCCGTGAAGTAAAGGAAAACTATCAAAGTGACGGGGAGACATGGTAGCTGCAATGATGGCCTTAAACACAAGAGAAATGGTGAGGATGGAACAGGATTGGGCAGGGTCTCCTTCTTGTAGTGCACAGGATCATTCTGAGTTATAGCTGACATCACGAAATCCAGCGAACATCTCATATAGAACTATATGGTCATTCTTATATGTTATTTGTGGATGAATGATAGTTATATAATATGAAATTGATTAATATAAAAATTGACTGTGAATTACCAACTTTTATTTATCCACTGAAAGACAATAAGACATTGTTAAGGTATCTTTGCTCTTTAACACTAAAAATTTACAAATGCCTATAAAAATGTATTGTGATGGGAAAGTCTGCTGTTAGAGACCTCTCCAAAGTGCTGAAGAGCAATGGTGCCACTCTGAAGACTAAGGTGTGGTTGATTCAGTCTATGGTCTTTGCAATCACTTGCTATACATCAGAGAGTTGGACAATGACTAGGGAGGATAGATGGAGAATTGATGCCTTTGAGCTGTGGTGCTGGAGAAGAGTATTCAATATACCATTGACTGCCATGAAAGCAAACAGGAAATCCTGGAGAGTGTTAAAGCTGGCTGCTCCTTGGAGGTAAAGGTTCTGAAGCTTTGTCTGACATACTTTAGACATGTTGCAAGGAGGGACCAGTCCTTGGAGAGGACATCATGCTTGGGAGGGTAGAGGGACAGTCCACGAGAGGAAGACCCTCTATGAAGTGGATTGATTCAGTGATTGGGGTGGTGAGGGTGGGAGAGTTGGAGACAGTGAGATTGCCACAGGATAAAGCAGGGTTTAACACTGTTATGATTCGCAGGCAACTTGATGGCACATAACACCACCGCCACCACCACCACCACCACCACCACCAACAACAACAACAACAAAAACAATGCTTATTCCATGATATATCCATGTGAAAATTACTCTCTATGCTGTAGAGACTATATCCTCATAGCTGTTATTTTCTAAGTGTGCAGTAAATTGTGTTGGTGTTCAGGAAAAGCCCTGCCGTCCACACGATTTATGCACAAAATCTATCATAAATTATTTGAACCATTAACTTACCAACTTGTATGAGGAAAGATCAATGATTCTGTCTCCATTTGCTTATTTGAAAGGAAACTTGATTATTTGGGTCTCGTTGAGGAAACAAAGCCCTGGAATAAAAATCAGCACAGTAAGCTGCAAGTCCCAGCTGTTTCACTTAATAAATCTGGAGCAAATATTTCAACTTACGGAGAAAAAAAGATAATAACATCCATTTCTAGGATGCAGGGGAAAACTAACAAAGCTTTGGAACTAAAGAAACATTTGTATTTAAACATTTTTTTTTGTTTTTTTTTTGTATTTAAACATTTTTAAATTTTTATTAATATTTTAATGAAAGTTTATAGAAAACTTGGATTTCCATTCATCCATTGTTGCACAATTTCCCCCCTCCCTGCAGCCCCCAGTCCACTTTGCTATGCACCTCTTATTCTGGCCTGTTGAACATTATTTTTAAATCAGAATTCTAATCATTATAAGGTTTATTGTTGAACTAGAATCCCAATTGTATTTCTTTAAATGAGAAAGATAGAAACCTAGTATGTTCCAGGGAATTTAAGCATAAATTATATTAAAATCTTAAAATTGTCTAGTTTCACACAATATCATTTACTTTCCCCTCTTTTTCTTCATTTTTCCTTTTTCGCATTAACATTTTCATGAAATAAGCTGCCATGTATCTGAGAGCTGGGCAGCGAATAAAAACAAGAAGAGAAAAACTGGGTTGTGGTGTTGGAGAAGAGGGGTGTCTATTGCCTGGACTTCTAAAAGAACAAACAGGCATGTCTTGGAGAAAATGCCCCCAGAGTCCTCCTTGGTGGCAAAGATGATGAAGCTTTCTCTAACATATCCTGGGCATGTTTTTAGGAGAAGCTAATGGCATGTAGTGTGAGTCTATCAGCTCCTCTGTGGGGGAAGGATGGACAATCTTCTTCCCTGCCATTAACTACCTCTGGTAACCCTCTGGAGGGTCAGCTATGGGTCGGTTCCAACTCGATGGTCCACCACCACCACAACATTCCTTGAAAAAGGACGTCTTGCTTGGAAAGGTGGAAAGTCATTGAAAGAGAGGAAGACTCTCAACTAGATGAATTGACACAGTGACTGCAGGGGTGAGTCTAAGTGCGTCAGAGGTGATGGGAATGAGGATAGAACAGGGTTCAAGATCAGTCGTTCATAGTGTTGCTAGAATCATACATGACTCAATTGTACTTAACAGCAACAACAACTAGTCCAAAGGGGTATTTTTATAGACGTGAAAGTTCAGGAAGGAGAACATTCAGTAAGGAATTCCTACAACTTTTTTCTAATACTATACAAGGAATAATGTATTCCATATTTCACACAGATGGTACGACAGAGACTGGGAGAGATGAAGAACTTTCTCTGTGGCACACAGACCGGACTAAAACATTAAGGGCTCACAATTTAATTGTATGTCACTAAGGGTCTGATAGCCTCGTCAGTAAGGAGTTGTGCTGAATACTCAAAGGTGGATGATTCAAATCCACCCGCTCCATCATGGGGGAAAAATGTGTAATCTCCACCCTTGAAATTTACAGACTCTGAAAACACACTGGAGGGGCAACTATATTATTGGTTCCAACTTGACAAACACATAGAATAGCAAGACTTAGTGTACTAAACACATTCTATTTCTTTAAAAAGGTTTGAATCGGAATATTAGGGAATGTAGCCAAAGATTTACCTAAATTAAACCTTTAAATTCATTCCAGCTACCTGAGTCAGGGAAGAATACAAGATGTTGTCTGTGTATATTTCTTTCAAGTTGTCGTTAAGTCCCTTCGAGTCAGGTCTGACTCACAGAGACCCTGTAAACCACAGACCTGAACCCTGTCCCATCCTGTACCATCCACATCATCTCTGACACACTTTAGCCCATTACTGTAGTCACTCGGTCAATCTTTCTCATTGGGGGGGTCTTCTGTTTTGCTGACCTCTCATGTTGATGCACTTAAAATATAAGGATAAAAGGAAAAGGGAGCAAAGGGAACACCTCGGAAAAAGCAAAATGGCAGAGTAGGCACAGTAGTGTGAACATGTACAAGTGTTTTTAATTAATGTCTGATTGTTGTTGTTGTTATGTGCCGTCGAGTCGTTTGCGACTCATAGCGACCGTATGCACAACAGCCCTAAACTCTGCTCTATCCTGTGCCAATCGCACTGCCTCTGACACACCCATGCCGATTAC